GGCCACTCCAAAATGTTCCAGCCTTTCCTCTGCAACCATGCTCTAGTGGACTTGGAGGTATGCTTGGGATCATTGTCCTGTTGAAAGGTCCAACGTCTCCCAAGCCTCAGGTGTGTGACGGACTGCATCACGTTTCCATCCAATATCTCCTGGTACTGAAGAGAATTCATGGTACCTTGCACACGTGAAGCTTCCCTGTACCTGCAGAAGCAAAACAGCCCCAAAGCATGATTGACCCTCCACCATGCTTCACAGTAGGCAAGGTGTTCTTTTCATCATAGGCCTTGTTCTTCCTCCTCCAAACATAGCGTTGATCCATGGGCCCAAACAGTTCTAATTTTGTTTCATCAGTCCACAGAACACTATCCCACAACTTTTGTGGTTTGTCCACATGGCTTTTGGCATACTGCAGTCGACTCTTCTTATTCTTTGGAGACAGCAAGGGGGTACGCCTGGGAGTTCTGGCACGGAGGCCTTCATTACGCAGTGTGCGTCTTATTGTCTGGGCTGAAACTTCTGTACCCACATCTGACAAATCTTTTCTCAGTTCCTCAGCAGTCACACGGGGACTTCTCTCCACTCTACGCTTCAGGTAGCGCACAGCAGTCGAAGTCAGCATCTTCTTTCTGCCACGACCAGGTAGCGTTTCAACAGTGCCCTTTGCCTTGAATTTGCGAATGATGCTTCCTAAGGTGTCTCTTGGTATGTTTAAACAACTGTATATATACACACACACATACACGTGATTTTGCGCACCCGTGCCACCCTGTAGCAGTATTTCTGTTATAGGGCGCTCGGGAAGCGGTTAATTAATACATTTTTATTGAAAAATATGGCACTATGACAGCAATATCACTTGACATCCATTACACAATTGCATTATAACCACCAAGCAGTAATAGTAACAAGATGTAATCCTGTCCTTCAACACCTGCTAAAAACACACGGTTTTACAGTTATGCAATGGTAGAGTATTTGCTATCGAGCCCATCATTTCCAGGGCTCGAAAAAAAAATCAAAAACAGGAAAATAAAAAGGAAAAAAGAAAAAAAGGAAGGGAGATGCCAGAAGGAAAAAGAGAAAGGGCCAACAAAAGATGTCGAACCATCATGGCTTCTGAGGGAACGAGAATAGTAACTATTATATCCTAGAGTCTGACAAACTGAGTCCAACAAGTAATCGTGGAGAAACAGAAAACTCAACCCATGGGGTCCATATTTTGCCAAACTTGGCATAGTTGTCGTTGAATATAGCTAGCAACTCTTCCATGTGCATGATATAGTTCACTTCCTCCACCTATTCCCATATTGTTGAAGGTTTTCAATATCTGGGAATCAGAACTCTTCTTGCCAGCAACAGGAATCTAAAATACTCCCTTTTTAATAGATTTAATTTATCCTGGAATCATGCAGAGAAGAGCTACCTCTGGGGTCTCTGGCCAGGTCCTGCCCATAATCAACTGACTTAGCTTAAATATGGCCAGCCAAAAGGGTTTTTATCACTGGGCAGGACCACCATATATGGAGATAGGTACCAACCCATACATGACATCTTCAACATTGGTCTGGGATCGCTGGATTTATCTTGTTTAATAAAGCTGGACAGCGATACCATCTAGTCATATTTTGTAGTTTTTCTCCTGCGATTGGGAAACTAGAGTTATTTTGAATGTAAGGAGAAAGGCTTTGTCCCAATCCTAAAATGCCAGATTATTGCCCATTTCTCATTCCCAGATATAGAACAGCCGGTCAGGGAATATAGAAGAATGCCATATGAATTTAGAAAGGGAATTTGGCCATTTTGAATCAGAGAGAGACAACTCCTCGAACAGTCAGGTCCCATCGAACCCATTCCTTAACCAGCTTATCATAGAAATGACGTAGTTGAAAAATATTGAAGCCACTGTCTTTCGTTGGAGCACATAAGAGAGCTATGCTCTCCCAAGGGTTTCAGACCCATCGGGGCAAGTGCATGCCAAATAGGAAATAAGCCTGAAGGTTGTCAGCATAGAAAGCCCTTTTCTGCCAGCCCAGTTGGAAACCTTGAGTTACCTAATATCAGTGTTAAGGACCCTGGCCTCAAAGAGAGGCTATATGTTGTGATGCTCTTGTCATAAACATATAAAAAAGAAGAGAGCAAAAGCGTAAGTTGCGATATGTGCAGACAATCATTAGGGTACAGCCATGAAAGAGAAGTTTAATGGGACAGATAACAAATCTGACTCAAAAGTAACCCACTGCCTACAGGAACTATTATGAAACCAGTCCAGTACCCTACTGAGCAATGCTGCAGCATGACATAATCTTAGGTGAGGCAGGCCTGCATCACCATCGTCTCACTTCTTCACCAAACTGTCATACAGGAGTCTAGCTGAAGATCTGTGCCAAATGTACTTAAGTAGTAAAGAGCGTGCCACTCTTAAGAATGAACGTGGGACCTGAATTAGAATGGTGTGAAAGATGTATATCCACCTAGAAAAGGGACATCCATCCAAGCCAGAAATATCACATCAAGGACCAGCTCGTTAGGTGATGCTGCATAATGGACAAAAGCTGACAGTAATTTAACTCATACAATTTGTCCAGTTGAGAGGGTATCTGTACTACAAGAAATTTAATGGAGATTTTTTTCAAACAAATGCAAATTTATCAGTGGTATTTGGGGCAAATCACACGCCTCCCTGTTGGCATGGCATGATGGATATCTGCCTGTATCTCTTAGAAATGAGAACACCATTGATCCTGACCAAATCTCCAACTCCATTTGCAGAAATGCAGCCCCAAACTTGCAAGGAACCTCCACCATGCTTCACTGTTGCTTGCCTATTATGGTACCACTTTCCAGCTCTTCACAAACAAATTGCCTTTTGCTACAGTCAAATATTTAAAAAAAATTTCTGCACCCAAGTTCTTAAGTTTTCATACACAGTTGAGTCACTTAGACTTGTTTCCATGTCCTATGCTGTTATATGGAGTATATACACACACACACACACACACACATTTATATACATACACACATAGTATACATAAACACATTACATGTATTTATTTAGCAGTAAGAATTTACACAGTGCTTCATATAATGTACAGCCATATCAGTACCATCAAGGAGCTTGCAATCTAAGGTCCCTACTTCACATGCATACATACATACATACACATGCTAGGGTCATGATAGGAAACCAGAGCACCCGGAGGAAATTGACACAAGCACAGGAGAACATGCAAACTCCACGCAGATAATGTCCTGACTGGAATATGAACTTCGGACCCCAGTGCTGCAATATAGAAGTGCTAACCACAGAGCTCCTGTGGAAGCGAATTGACAAATAGAAAAAATCAATATCATCAATAACGGTTTATACAAAAGCTATATTCACAGAAAAGCAAACTGACTAGACTTCTTGCAGCAATGCTTAAAAAAATATAACGCTAGATGAAACAAAGGCAGTAGCACTGTATGTAAGAAATTGCATTACATCAGTATGGAGACAGAGTATGGAGCAGAAGGAGATGAAAATTAATACAGAATGTCATAGGGCTGGTAATCCCCCTCTATAGCCATATGCAAAATGACCTGAGCATGGCCAGAGTCTTGGTGCAAAAACACTACTTTCTTGGTACAATTTAAAAATGTAAACTTGAACAGGGAAACCTGCCAGCAACAGTCGCAAGCAGCTGGGCTCAAGGGGTCAAATATCTCACCAGTGGAGTCATTAAAAGACCAGTCAGGTTAGCATCTGCAAAAAATTTATCCTTTCAGTGTTCCACTTTCTGTCTTTTCCTCAATGACACTTCAGTATAAATCTGCATGAAAAACGTGTGTTTGTGTACAGTTTTACAGAGCCTTGTTCTGTGAATAAGAATGAAATGTTTGCATTTTGTCATCATCAATCAGGAAAGCTAAAGTAGCATGTAGACGCCATCCCCAAAGGATGGAAGTAGGTTAACATGCGGGAGACGCAATTGATGATTTGAGAGAAACTAAAAGGGAAAATTGATTTTTTTTTCCCTCCGTTCTTGGAAAACATCTTAAGATTTTGTTACAATTGTACATTGTGCATTAGAAAAAAAAAATGTGTATTCAGTATTCCCTGAGAGAAAGCATTACTGAAATATAAAAGCAGAAAAGATTAAAGAAGTAAATTAATTGTATGTGAGCATTCAGTAGTTCACTTAAAAATAAATCTTACATTTATTGTATAATATACTCTCTCCTATAGCTCATATGTGTATTCTATGTCTGGAAATCTGCACGTTCTGTATTAATTACCATTATTTGTAAGAAGCAAATAGAGCTGTCAACCTATATGTATAAAAAATACATTGTAAGTTCACGCAGTTATTTGGACCCTCTAAATTACCATTGGTGAGCATGGGCTATACCAAGGTCCTGAGTCTTAAAAAAAAAACTATAATGGGTTTGGATCTTTTTTTTTCTTTTTCGTTTTGTTAGAGTCAGTTCCCACAGAATGGTCTACTTTTGACAAATACGCCACACCAAACCGCATGGTACTGCAGCACCACGTGATCTGCATTTGGGGTGCCATTAACAATGTTTTGGTGCCTGAAGCAGATCGCAAAGGTAGCCTGTTTTGCAGGCAGTGTGGGAAATGTGCACTGTATTTAATAACACATCTCCAAAAAGTATTGTTTAAATTGAATTCCAGGCCAACGGCTAGTATATTAAGGAAATGTATTGAAGATAGTAGTTTTACCTGTCAAAGAATTTGCATTTCTGTCTATCTAATTCTAATATTTCCAAAGCTCTTAAATCTGGCTCACACACATTCATTTTTGGATGCGTTTTGAACTGCTGGATACTGTATATGCAGTCCAGCCGTAGTGCAGGATTGAAAAAGGGTGGTGTGCGAGTTTGGAGCTGTGCGATCTGTTTGTGAAGTCTAAAGAGTTCATTTGAAACCACACGTGAAATGGATGCATCTTCAGGCATCAGCATGTCAGTGTGCCCTGATGATCTGTGTAGCCCCAGCAGTGCCACCTGTCAGTATCCATCAGTGCCAGCTGTCAGTGCTCATCAGTGCCACCTGCCAGTGCCAATCAGTACCACATCAAAGCACATTTCAGTGTCTACGAGTGCACATCAATGCCACATATCAGTGCCCATCTGAGCTGCCTTTCAGTGTCACCCATCAGTGTCAGTCAGTGCCATCTATCAGTGCTGCCAATCAGTGCCAGTGCGCATCAGTGCCGCCTAACAGTGCCAGCCTAACAGTGCCAGTCAGTGCCACTTAACAGTGTCAGTCAGTGCAGCCTATCAGTGCCGCCTATCATTGCCCTATATGAGTGCCCATCGGTGATGCCTGTCAATGCCCATCACTGCAGCCTCATTAGCGCACATCAGTGAAGGAGAAAAATCACTTATTTACAAACTTTTATAACAAAAACTAAGAAAAAAAAGTTTCTTTTTTGAAATTTTCAGTGGTTTTTGGTTTAAGAAAAAATAAAAAAAAAACCCAGAGGTGATTAAATACCACCAAAATAAAGCTCTGTCACCAAAAAATGATACAAATTTCATATGGGTACAGTGTTGCATGACCACGCAACTGTCAAAGTGCAACAGCACAGAAAGCTGGAAATTGACCTGGAAACTAACACTTTGTTGAAGCACCTTTTGATTTTATTCCAGCACTCAGTCTCTTTGCGTATTAGTCTATCAGAATGGCACATCTTGACCTGGCATTATTTGCCCACTCTTCCTTGTAAAAACAATCCAAATCTGTCAGATTACGAGGGCATCTTCTGTGCACAGTTCTCTTTATCTTGCCCTTCAGATTTTCAGTCGGATTCAGGTCTGGACTCTGGCTGGGCCATTCCAAAACTTTCATCTTCTTCTGGTGAAGCCAATCCTTTGTTGATTTGGATGTATGCTTAGGGTCATTGTCATGCTGAAAGATGAAGTTCCTCTTCATTTTCAGCTTTCTAGCAGAAGCCTGAAGGTTTTGTGTCAATATTGACTGGTATTTGGAACTGTTCATAATTCCCTCTACATTGACTAAGGCCCCAGTTCCAGCTGAAGAAAAACAGCCCCAAAGCATGATGCTGCCACCACCATGCTTCACAGTGGGTATGGTGTTCTTTTGGGGATGTACAGTGTTATTTTTGCGCCAAACAACTTTCGGAATTATGGCCAAAAAGTTCAACCTTGATTTCATCAGACCATAACACATTTTCCCACATGCTTTTGGGGAACTTCAGCTGTGTGTTTGCTAAATTTAGCTGGGTTCGGATGTTTTTCTTCGTAAGAAAAGGCTTCCATCTTGCCACTGTACCCCATTGTCCAGACATATGAAGAATATGGGAGATTTTTGTCACATGTACCATACAGCCAGTAGTTGCCAGATATTCCTGCAGCTCCTTTAATGTTGCTGTAGGCCTCTTGGCAGCCTCCCAGACCAGTTTTCTTCTTGCCTTTTCATCAATTTTGGAGGGAAGGTCATCCAGTTCTTGGTAATGTCTCTGTTTCGCCATATTTTCTCAATTTGATGATGACTGTCTTCACTGTGTTCCATGGTATATCTAATGTCACGGAAATGCTTCTGTACCCTTCTCCTGACTGATACCTTTTAACAATGAGATCCCTCTGATGCTTTGTAAGCTCTCTTCAGACCATAGCTTTTGCTGTAGGATGCGACTAAGAAAATATCAGGAAAGACCTACTGGAACAGCTGAACTTTATTTGGGGTTAATCAGAGGCACTTTAAATGATGGCAGATGTTCGAACTGACTCCTATTTAACATGATTTTGAATATGATTGCGTAATTCTGAACACAGCTACATCCCCAGTTATAAGAAGGTGTGCAAACTTATGCAACCACATTATTTTATTTTTTATGTTTACTTCTCCCCCCTAAAATATTTGTTTCTCAATTGAGTTGTACAGTTTATAGGTCACTCTAAAAGGTGGAAAAATTTCTGAAATTATTTATCTTTTGTCTCATTTTTTTACATCACAGAAACCTGACATTTTAACATGTGAATATATATATATATATATATATATATATATATATATATATATATATATATATATACATACACATATATATATATACACTACTCAGCATAAATGAGTACACCCCTTTTGAAAGAAAGATTTTAATTAATATGTCAATGAAAACAAGTACAATTTCCAAAATTTTCACACAGCTTTATAGAACATTGTTTAGCTTATTACATGAAAGTAAGGTTAATAATGTCTTGGATTACCAAATCTTCAGTGTTACTCAAATTAGTTGGTGCAAAAATGAATACACCCCACAACAAAAACTACTACATCTAGTATTTTGTATGACCCCCAAGATTTGTAAGGACAGCACCAAGTCTTCTAGGCATGGAATGAGCAAGTTGGCGACATATTGCAACATCTATCTTTTTCCATTCCTCAAGAATGACATCTTTTAGAGCCTGGATGGAGCAAGATCCTTAGCTTGTCTCTTCAGAGTTCCCCATAGGTATTCGCTCGGGTTCAGATCAGGAGACATACTTAGCCACTGAATCACTTTTATCCTGTTCTTCAGAAATGCAACAGTGGCCTTAGATGTGTACTTTGGATTATTGTCATGTGTCATTGTCAAGTGCACGACAACCAAGGGCACAGAGTGATGGTAGCATCTTCTCTTTCAATATAGAACAGTAAATCTGTGAATTCATGATACCATCAATGAAATGCAGCTCCCCGACACCAGCAGCACTCATGCAGCCCCACAGAAGGACACTGGCATCACCATGTTTCACTGTAGGCACCATGCATTTTTCTTTGTACTCCTCACCTTTGCCACACCATACAGTTTTGAAGCCATCAGTTCCAAAAACATTTATCTTGGTCTCATCACTCCAGAGTACAGAGTCCCAGTAGTAATTTTCACCATGGGCCCTGGCAAATTCTAGGTGGGCTTTTTTGTGCATGGGCTTTAGGAGAAGCTTCCTTTGTGGATGACACCCATTCCACCGCAGTGTACGCCGTATTGTGCCACGGGAAACCATCACCCCAGTTCGGCTTTCTACTTCTTTAGCTAACTGCAGTGAACTTGCATGGTAATTTTCTTCAAACCCTTCTCATCAGAAGATGCTCCTGTCGAGGTGTCAACTTTCGTGTATGGCCTGGACATCTCTGAGATGGTTGCAGTTCCATCTTTGTTAAATTTTTGTATCACTTTTGGTACAGTATTCTGACTGATAAGTAAAGCTTTGCTGATCTTCTTGTAGCCTTCACCTTCTGTAAAGAAATTATTTTCTCTCTCAGGCCTTGTGATATTTCTCTTCTATGTGGTGCCATTGCTGACAGTTGTGGGTGTTTGTGGTGTGTGGTGGTGTGTGTGTGTGTGTGTGTGTGTAGAGAGGCCTGTAATTGGCATCATAGGTAGACCTCAACTATGAGAGACAAAATGAGAGAAAAAAAAAATCCAATCACATTGGCTGATTTGGAAAGAATTTATTTGCAAATTATTGTGGAAAATAAGTATTTGGTCAATATCAAAAGTTCATCTCAATACTTTGTTATATATCCTTTGTTGGCAATGACAGAGGTCAAACGTTTCCTGTAAGTCTTCACAAGGTAGGCACACACTGTTGCTGGTATGTTGGCCCATTCCTCCATGCAGATCTCCTCTAGAGCAGTGATGTTTTGGGGTTGTCGCTGGGCAACACGGACTTTCAACTCCCTCCAAAGGTTTTTTATGGGGTTGAGATCTGGAGACTGGCTAGGCCACTCCAGGACCTTGAAATGCTTCTTACGAAGCCACTCCTTCGTTGCCCGGGCGGTATGTTTGGGATCAATGTCATGTTGGAAGACCCAGCCACGTTTCATCTTCAATGCCCTTGCTGATGGAAGGAGGTTTGCACTCAAAATCTCACGATACATGGCCCCATTCATTCTGTCCTGTACATGGATCAGTCGTCCTGGTCCCTTTCCGGAGAAACAGCCCCAAAGCATGATGTTGCCACCCCCATGCTTCACAGTAGGTATGGTGTTCTTTGGATGCAACTCAGCATTCTCTCTCCTCCAAACACAATGAGTTGTGTTTCTACCAAACAGTTCTATTTTGGTTTCATCTGACCATATGACATTCTCCCAATCCTCTTCTGGATCATCCAAATGCTCTCTAGCAAACTTCAGACGGGCCCGGACATGTACTGGCTTAAGCAGGGGGACATGTCTGGCCCTGCAGGATCTGAGTCCCTGGCGGCTTAGTGTGTTACTGATGGTAGCCTTTGTTACGTTGGTCCCAGCTCTCCGCAGGTCATTCACTAGGTCCCCCCGTGTGGTCCTGGGATTTTTGCTCACCGTTCTTGTGATCATTTTGACCCCACGGGGTGAGATCTTGCGTGGAGCCCCAGATCGAGGGAGATTATCAGTGGTCTTGTATGTCTTCCATTTTCTAATTATTGCTCCCACAGTTTGATTTGTTCACACCAAGCTGCTTGCCTATTGCAGATTCAGTCTTCCCAGCCTGGTGCAGGTCTAGAATTTTGTTTCTGGTGTCCTTCGACAGCTCTTTGGTCTTCACCATAGTAGAGTTTGGAGTGTGACTGTTTGAGGTTGAGGACAGGTGTCTTTTATAGTGATAACAAATTCAAACAGGTGCCACTGATACAGGTAATGAGTGCAGGACAGAGGAGCCTCTTAAAGAAGAAGGTACAGGTCTGTGAGAGCCAGAAATCTTGCTTGTTTGTAGGTGACCAAATACTTATTTTCCACCATAATTTGCAAATAAATTCTTTCCAAATCAGCCAATGTGATGGTCTGGATTTTTTTTCTCATTTTGTCTCTCATAGTTCAGGTCTACCTATGATGCCAATTACAGGCCTCTCTCATCTTTTTAAGGGGGAGAACTTGCACAATTGGTGGCTGACTAAATACTTTTTTGCCCCACTGTGTGTCTGTATATATATATATATATATATATATATATATATATATATATATATATATTTATTTATTATTATTATTATTATTATTATTATTATTAAAGAACCAGTGGCAACTTCCTTCAGGCAGTCAAGGCAACCAATGGTAGCTACCATTTCATTACATATATTTTTCAAAACAAACGTGTTGATAATGTTATTTACAAGAAGATGCATACAAATATATAACATGATACATAAGTACATAACCCCTTGTTTTTCTTCTGACCTTTCATCAGGTGGAAATTCCAGCGATCTGTTAGACTTGCCCCCTAACCCTCACTTCAGTATCAGCCTAAACTAAAATTCCACTAACTGTTGCAATATAACAAAAAAAAAAAATATTATTGCAGCTCCCACTTAATAAGCCCCACAGTTAACACTGACACATCTGCAGTTTGCTCGTAGGCTCCATAATCAGCGCTGCTTGAAGAAAGTAGCTTTGTTGTAGGTCTCATAAATCACCGGTGT